AATACCTAACTTCTGTGATGCATCGAGGTTGATCATTTGTCTCTGTTTGTCTGGATCCCTCGTACCCAGCAGCACCAGCAACCTTGCACTGTGATTTTTGTGATAGAAGTGCAGATTTTGTGAAGACAGAAACTCCGCAGTCGGAATATTAAGCTGGGCTTTGCAGAGCGAGTGAGGGGAAACCATCGCTGAAGGCACACCATCTTGTGGCAGTAAGAGGCACGGACCAACAGAGCCAGCAGATCTAAACTGTGTGAAGCGAAGCATCTCAGTCCTACCGAGCTGCTCATCATACACTCCTCCCTTTCCAAGAAAAAGATGCCACCGAGGAGCAAGTCCTGATCCTGGGCTCCGATCCCGCTCTGCCCGCGAGTGTCCTCGCCCAAGAGCTGCGGGGAGGGAAGACGCAGGGAAAGTCCCAGGTTTACACTGCACTCACCCCACCCAGCGGCAGTTCCGGGACATCCCTCGCCCGAAACACCTTTCCCTGCGAAAGGATGGCGAGATCCGAGTACGGATCTGGTCCTTATTCTAGGACCTCCCCCAGATGTGTCCGTGGCCACTTCCCACCCGCCTTTCCAGTAAATCAGGGAGCTTTGCCCTCTGCCACCAGCACCGTGATGCCCAGCTTGGCTTCCAGAGCTGCCGGGGGTTCCCACAGCCCAAGACGAGGCACAGACGGGCAGGAGATTCCAGCTGGGATCTGTATCCTGCAGGAAGACCCAGTCAGTTTGCAGTAAATCACAGAACTTGTTGCAAGAGGCGATCCAGCTCCTGCTGTGGCGTTGTCCCGGTTCCTTTCCCTCGTTTATAGCAATACCAGGAACAGAGAGTTCAATTTAAATGAGACCATTGTAAAAGTAACTACTTCTTTTCTGTAAATACATTGCCAGTACGTTTAAGGGGGCTGAGGGAAAGTTCCTAGAGAGGCAGGAAAAGTGGAACGCTGCAGAACGACCACCTCAACCGCTTTTTACAGGCAGAACCTACCGTGCCATGATCGGGATCAAACAGTTTTCATCACTTGATTATTCCTCGTGGCTGGGCAGCGAGACCATTGCTGCAGCAATACCTGTGTGCCAGAGTTTAGTTCAAGAGCCCTGTAGACAAGAGATATTAATTCCAAGTTGGACCAAAAGGACCCCCCCTATTGAAAGTGAACGTTCTTGGACTTAGTGGTGAGTGTGCAGCATTACTTATGTCATCAGCACTTGCAAATAAAACTTGTAGAACGCCTAAGTGCATGTAAAAAATCCAGTGTGCTTTTGGTCTAGATAAATTAAACCTAAATATATAACTAAAATTGCATGTGGGGTTATCAGAAAATATATACCTGGCTTCTGATTAAATCACCACATTGAAAATTTTGAGGTGCAAGAATATTTGAAAAAGAAAATATAGAAGCTGAAGATGCTTCATTCCTGTAATTTATTTTCTTTTTACAAAAAATGAAAGGATGAGATGATTACCAAGTCTATCAGTACCTTCAAAGCAGTTTTTGCCCACATGTAATTTGTTTCCTTTTAACTTTCTAGGTTGTGTTTCCACATTTTAGGCAGCAAAAATCTCAATCTTTCTCCATCTCAATGGTCTTCCACAATGCATGTTAAGCATATTGAGAGGCACCTGTTATAGGATCAAGCTGGAGATTTAATAAATCTTTATTTTTGATTAATGTTCTTTTCCCTCTTGCAGATTAGTCCTTAACTACTTAATATTCAGTGCTTGCTGCCAGCACTGGAGAGATACATCTTATTTAAGAAATGAGACAGGTTTAGTTATGTGAATGAGGAATGTCTAGAAATACAAATAATTGGTCTGAGTAAGAAATCCATTGCACAGCCATACACGAATTTCAGTTATCCAGTGGTTTTTGAACGGAGATGGAGATGCAGATGGAGAGCTTTCCAGGAGGGAGAAGAGTATTACATGGGACTACAGAGGTCATGACAGGAGTGGTGAAATTGTTCTTCTGGAATGTACCTGACTGTATTTCCACTTCCTAAATTAGCTTTACAGCCACTATAATTTTTCAGGTGAATAAACAATTGTTAGTTTTGGCTTCCTACGTAACAGCGGCTGTACATAACTTTTCACATTTTTATTCTGCACAAAGCCTCTGAATTGAGCCAAAGCTTAAAAAAATACAATTTTAAACATGGTAGTTGAGAAAGTTAACATTAATTTATGATTTTATCATTTAGTCTGTATTAATTCATTTAACTTTATAATGTAAAAAAATTTTATCGTTATGTGAAGTCTGCAATGCACTCAGAATCATGCTTGTCTGATAAAATGGATTTTTCACAAAAACATGCTCATTGGCATTAACTATCCAACTGTCCTCCACTGATTGTATCCTATATTAATGATACCAATTCCAGTCATGGATTTCTGATATTGACATGATAGCCACTTTTGCTTCTGTTCCTCTGGAGCTTCTTCCTTATTCCTAAATCTATTCAAAATTGTCATTATTATAGTTCCCGGACACTTTTAGCAAGCAAAACTCTGCTCCTCTCCAGTGACAAAATATTTAACAGGAAATGGCAGTCTTTTTAAACATAGGTTTTATACCTGCTGGAAACAGAAGTCATTAACTTGCCTATAGCATGTAAGTATCACTGATATATATTTGCTATTTCTTCCTTTTCTGTATGTCTGAAAAGTAAATAAACACCTTTCCAGCAAAGCAGCCTTAATGTTTTGGCATTTTTTCCTTTTCCATTGTTTATACAGAAGTAAAGATCCTCTTACTGACTGGGATCCTGTTGATAGTGGAGCTTCATTGATAACCAATAGTTTGCTTCATTGATCACCAGACAAACTGATTAAATCAGAAGAATGGTCCTGGTCAGCTGATGTAAAAACAATAAAGCTCGTCCTGATCAAGTACATTTTGTAGCCGTTTTGCTAACCTGTCAAGAGTACAGAAATGTAGCCGTGGAAAGGGGTTTTAACCCTTTAAGTGTGGTGGAAATAAGATGCACAGCTACATGGTCGTCTTTCATGACAGGAAGAAAGAGACAAGTTTATTCAGAAACACACTTGGTTTTATAGCATGACTCGCAATTCCAAGAATAGAGAAAAGGTGATGGGTTCAGAGAGAAGACACCCCATTCCCAGGGCCTGGTCACACACCACAACAGGTGTTCTATCTTGTTATTAATTCCTTTTTATTTTGACCAAATTATCACCCTGGGAGAAATTCTCCCTAGCCTTGAGCTGGACCAGCTTATCGGCTGGGAACAGAGCTGAAAAGCTCCAGCCTGGAATATTTTTCAGGCTGTAATTTCTTGCTTTCTCAATATGTGTCCCTACACAGAAACAAGCTACTGCAAAGTAGACTGGAGTACAAACTTGTAGAAAACCAACCCTCTGCAGTAAGTCTGCCCGTTCTCCCTCTTGATATCCTTGGAATATCCTTATTGCCTTGTGTTTGCTACTGGGTAACAGCACCCCTGGTGCCTCTGAGCAGCAGGATAAATGTTTCAGGTAGCCACTCCCTTGGGCTTCCAGGATGTTTTATTGCAGGCACTCCACTATTTTAGGCAGCCGCCTGAAGCAAAAGACATCACAGATGCCAACCCAAGGGTGCTCAGGGAGGGACAGAATTGGGGAATAAGCTTCCTGTAAGCAGGAGTGGCTTGTCATGGGGATTGAAGGAAGGGATGTGCTAGCAAGACATAGGGAGGAATTTCAACAAAGGAGGAGTTTGGCACTAGGAAATCTGACTGTTGGGAGCAAGGCTCTCGGAGAGATGAAAAGATCCCACTATCTTCCTGTGAAGGCAAAAATGGCAAAGAAAGCTCTGGCAGTGGGAGCTTGCACTTGGGAAAAAAGTCACTGAACTGTGGAAGAAAAATTGTCCTTTATTCTGTCTGGCAGCATCTGTGGATGTTTTAGGACCTCTGTTAAACCTGTGGAAAGATGTCCCAGTTTTCTGGTATATGTTTTAATATCTCAGCCCTTTGATGTGTGAAGTGTCTCCCACTATTAAATAGCAGTTTTGCTGCTGTTGTTCTCCCTCTTTCTTTCCTGCTCTAATTTCCCTGTGCCTGGATTGCCCTTCCTACTCTTACTTCAGTGACAGAGCAGCTGTGGCTGCACTCATTGCTTGGCATTCACTGAGCACTAGGATGAAATATCATTAGCCTAGGAAAATTATGGGTGTTACTGTGTTAAACACATTTTTGCTTTTCTAAGAGTGTGCAGAGAGTAGAATAAATAAAATAAGAGTGTGCAGGGGAGGGAAGAGGAACAGTGTCCATGGAAGGGGATGGAGAAGAAGAAAGTTATCTAATGTCTAGGGCACTGAATAATTAAACTCAGCACAGACTTCAAGCTGTCAGCACTCCTGAAAATATGATTCACTTACATTAGTACTGTGTCAGGTAAAATGTTTCTGTTCACATCATCCATAATAGAACAGAGAAATTCCCATATTTTAGAGTTGTTTTCAGCATGTGAGATGTATGTTTAAGAAACAAACACTGGATCACATCTGTTTGTTCAGACAATATCTGTATTTTTGCCCACAAGTCCACTTACACATTCTGCAGAAGCTCATGTAGCCATCAGAGAAGCACCAGGGCAGCACATGTATGCCTATGTACTTTTGATTTCACCATGCTTACAGTGCTCAAAGTTTGACTATCAGGTGAACATGAAATGCACAACGCTCTTGAAAAAGTGAACAAGATTTGTTACAGCTTTTGCCATCAGGTGGCTTCTGCCTGCTTCCAGTTTGGTGAGGTTGACAAACTGGAGTGTGTGACAAGCTGAGTGTGCACATTCATAAAGTGTAATCATACTTCTAGGACAAGTTGTGTTTTACAAAAGCCTTGGAGGTGGTGTGGAGTGAAATAAGGGCTGAAGTGTTCACAGCATGCATTGTGTGGAGTCTTACTAAAATAAGTCTTTGTGCTGCAGAGATGTAGGAGTGGGTGTGGACTATGCAGTACAGTTACCTTCATCAGACTGTACTCAGCAAACAAATTAACATTTCACTTTTGTTTATTCTGAGGTTGGGGGTGAGGAGTTTCAGTGGACTCTTACACAAAGAATTCATTTAAATGCTTTGTTGTTTGCTGCTGCTGCTGCTCACCCAGCTCTCCTCTGGCTCAAGGCCCTACTTTCTTAGCTGGGTTTCAGCTCCTCTTCAGGCTTAGGCAGTGCTGCTTTGCAAGTACAGCCTTCTCTGGGGGATCACGGAGGCAATCCACTCACCAGTGCCCTGCTTGGCCTCTTCCCATGAGTAGCGGGGCACGTAGCCAAAATCCTGCTGTGCTTTTCTATAAGAGAAGGTGAAGGGGGTGTTCAGCAGCGTGACCAGGTGCCGGTTGGTGGAGGGGACGTACCTGACCAAGGGCCTCAGCAAGAAGCTCACAATCTCCAGCAGCAGTGAGAAGTAATAGAGCACTGTCAACGGCATGGGGAGCTGGGGCTCAATTCCAAACCCCAGGTCCTTGGTGAGCTCGTAATTCAGATCAGCGTAGCTCATGTGTGGAGTGTCATCTGAGATGTAATAGAACTTGCCCCTGACGTGCTTGGCTTTCTGGGGGGCTCGGAGGGCTTTGGCTGCCTGCACGTGTGCCCAGGCGATGTTCCCCACGTACACAGGGTTCACCAGAGCCTCCTTCCTGGAGAAGCGCAGGTAGACGTTCTTGTTCAACAGGCACTTATCCAGATGGCCTTGGAGAAACGGGCAGCCTTCCCCAAAAATGTACATGGATCTCAGGGCACAGGTCATCAGCGTGCCACCATCCTTCAGCACCTGGCCATCTGCTTTCAGCACAGAATCCTCTGCCTGCCTCTTGCTTTGGGCATAAGGAAATTTGGACGTGCTCTCATAAGCTGTATCTTCGTCACCATTGAAAATGGGGTCACCCTTGCAGTTTGGGCCCGTCACCTCTATGGTACTGGTGTATATGAAGTGCTGGACGTTACAGCGGACACATGCCTCCAGCAGCAACTGAGTACCTTCAGAAAAAAATACAAAAACATGAAAGGCAGTCTAGGGCCCCCTAATCAGGAAAAAGTGGAGGTTTCAGATCAGAAACATCATCTCTGGTCTGATCTGGCCTGAGCTTAGCCAGATCTCCCTCCCTGCAGCTGGAAGAATCCTATCCTGAGCAGGGAAGTATATTCAATGGCACTGAACCTGCTCTGAATCTGTACATAAGTAGCATCAGTGCACTTTCCAGAGTTGAACAAGGCTGAATATTTGGTCCTAATTGTACGTTGTGGGGTGTTTTTTATGCCAAGAATCAAATTTTTGCCTTCCTTAACTTAGCATTCAGGGGATTTTTGCCTCTTCAGATTCAGAGACTTTTGCCTCTTGATTGGATTGACTTGGCTTAAGGCAGAGAACCTACAGAAGCTGCCCCTCTCCTTAGGTATCATCCATGTTCTATGGTGAAACCCATATTTTTCAGGCTTAAGGATGCTCTAGGGTGGCTTGCTAAGAAGGGACAGAATTAGTATGGGACCTGAAGGTTTGCTCCAAAATTGGTGCACTCACACCCAGGGCAAATCTATCCAGTATTCAATTGACTAAAGAGAAGGGCTTAAAGAGGGGAATGGTGAAGCAAGGCACAATAACATGTACTCAAAGATCACAAAGTGCAATGAGAAAAGAGAGGCTTGTGTATGTATGCCTCCTTTTCTGGCATATTCTGGCTTTTCCATGCAGTAGTACAGGATTTCTTACATTTAAAATCCTTTAATGCTTTCATCGGGGCAGCAGAGGTCAGCTGTTCAAAGTCTTTTAAACAGCCAAGAAAGTTAATTGAGGAAAGCACACTGAAGGGGGAAATAAATACTTTAATAAGTTGTGTTGTTATGGATGCAATTAGAATCTTATTTTTCTTCCCAGTTTTGAAGCAGAAATTGCCTTATTTTTTGTGCATGGTGTAATGAGAGAAATTAAGTGTAAAAAGGCCAATGACTTCAGAAGAGAAGACACAGCTCAAAGATGTTTGGAAACATCTTTGGCAAAGGAACATTAAACTAAAATGACTGATATGATATCAGAAGAGTGTAGCCTAAAATCGAGTGGATAAAATCAAGCACCAGCAGTGAGACACATTAAAGATCTTCCAAGTCTGCTCAGTCTATTACAGCAACAACTAAAGGCAGGACAATGCAGACCAGACTAGTGTGACTGAAACTAATATAATGAATTACAGAGGTTCAGAAGAGCCAGGAATATTGGCAGCAAAATATGGACTCATTAATGAGTGAAAAATAGGAAGAATTATTGAACTGAATATTGTTAGGCCACCAACATTCCTCTTTTCAAGCTTGAACAAGAAAAAGAAAGAAATTGAAGCAAATGGAAAGCAAATCTGGATGAAGCTTTCAGAAACATTAAGGAAGTGCACTGAAAAAACATTATGCAGACAGGAATAAATTAATGGGAAAAATTATTTCATGCAAGTCACCCTGTTTAGATGACATACAAGCCAGGGTCATCTGGAAAAAAATTAATTTATTATATTATATTAAAAATAATAGCTTAATTCCTGCTGTCAATACTGCTTAGAAAATAAGGGAAAGTAATCAAATGCAGAAGGTCTTGATGAAATCAAATGAGATAGCAAGTTTTAGAAAAAGCAAACAAAATTATCTTGACAGTTGGTATCTGTTCAAGATGAATTTCACTCAAATAAAATGTGGTTTATTTGCAAATCAGAATTGTATGCAAAAGTTTAAAGATTGCTACAGTAATGGGAATCTGAGTCTCTTTCATATAGCATGTAATAAAGTAAATTATTACTGTATTTCATGCTTTTTTTAGTGAGTGGGTCCCCATGATTCGCTTGCCCTTCTGGCTGAGGATCTGGTTCACAGAAGGTATTTTGTTTAGATTATAATTAATTACTTTCTCGATTCCCATCCTTCTAAATTTTCTTCCCTTCCTTCCTAAAAGGATATTTTTGCTCTGATATATTGTATGGCAATGGAGGAAAGCCCCACATCACGGCAAGTTTAACTTGTTCACTTCTGTCCTGGTTCGTGAGCATCCACATCTGGTTATTGAAGCATTTATATTGCATGAGTTCTGTTTTCTAGGAGAAACAAAACTTTCATCCTGCCAGCCTATGGAGTACATAGCAGTGCCCTGGCTGGTCAGAAAACCAGAAGAGCACCAGAATGGAAATGGAAGGAAACAGAGAAGAGAGAACAGCAGTATTCACTGACTGAACTTATGGCCAGTTGGCCCTGGGGGCAGGACTGTGGATGGTATTTCATTCTAGCAAATGTTATCAGCTAATCCTCACTGCCCAGTGGGCTGTTTTAGGCAGACACTGCTGGCAGGGGAGTGAGTACTGGGGAGTCAGAGCTAAAGAGCTTTCTGGGTTTGGGACATTTTAATAGTTGTTTGATTTTTTGTTGTTGTTGTTATTGGTTTTATTTTTCCTCTTAGAAAAATGTGTTTAAGCAGTACATTCTGCTGTTAAAAACCAGATTGTAGCAGGAGTATAGTCATGGAGACAGAGCTTTACAAATCCTCTTTCTGAACTACCAACCACGTATATTTTCCTATTACGCAATGCGCAGGTTTCCAGGAACTTGCCTTTCTGCTCTTCCCTCCTGACAGGGGCCTAAGAGGCTGCCCACTGGGAATCATGTTTTGATCACTGACAATTTGTGGCTTTGACTGAGCAGAAATGAAAAGGTCTGGAAGCTAATGGTACAGGCAATGAGCCATGCTAAAACAACTAAAATGCTATCCCACTGTTTTTAAGGTACATGTAAGAAACAGCTTGGCTGCCAAGAATTCTCTCTTCCTCTGAACACTGGTGAGCAGCCAATATTTGTGAAAGTGATGCCTGTACAGGTATGTTCCTTATTTTTCTGTGAAGAAGCCCTGTGTCTGTGGCAGAGAGGAACAAAGAACTGGGAAAGCTGTTTGTGTAAATAAGAACATCTTCCCCAAATCTCCCTCAAGTTTTTGAAGCAACGCAGCCAGGGAGGCCAGTGTGCATGCAGGTTAGGCAGTACCAGTTCTCTGAATGGCTCTGAGGGTTTTGGCATCACAGACAGGGGGTGAAGCTGTGCTTTTAGGAACTACATTTAAACTTCCTGGTAGGTGATACTAGGTGGGCCATTCTTAAGTCTAAACATTCTCCCTTCATGAAGAATGGGGGTTCCTTAGTGGAAGGGGAAATCCTATCACTGAGTCACTGAAACACCTCCCTCCCGTAGCTCTGAGTTTGTTGGGGAATTTTAAATTATAAGCTCAAAGTGGGAGAGCACTTGTTCCTCTCAATTGCCTTCTTGCAAACGCAGACTTAATGGCAAAGGAAGGAAAAGGAGAAAAAGAAGAAGGAGAGAGACACAGGCTCTGGGATGTTATCAGTGCAACATTTCTGTAACTGCACCCAGAGTCTGCAGTATTTGTAAAATTTGAAAAATGTACATAGCAGGGATGCCATGTGGGGTGGGAGATTAAGAACCAATTTCTGACGTGAGGATTGGGATTTCAGAGGGGAATTGCTCTCAGAAAGTTCCACTGAGCGTGGGCTTATGACTATCATCATTCAAGGCAGAGTCTGTGCAGATCTCAGCGAGAGCATATGTAAGTGTTGACAAGAATGAGTGATCCTGCACTGCCCTGAAGTGGAAGACTCGGTGTGGAGAGGCCCAGAACTTCTTGGGGCTGCACAGACATGAGATTTGCACCCCTAGGTATGTCTGTGCAAGATGCAGAACAACGCAGTTAACCTGGCTCAAAACAAATACGGGTCAGGTGCTCCCTTTCCTGAGCAGACGGAGATCAGGACAGAGATGTGGGTTTGAGAGAGGTGCTTCACCTGCTCACCTGTTACATTGACTTCCCAGAGCAGCTTCTTCTCGATGAGGCCCAGGGTGTCAATGAGGGAAGCCGTGTGGATGACGAGGGAGACCCCCTGGCAGGCATGGTGCAGGAATGTCACATCTCGGATGTCCCCTTCCAGGATTTTCACCTCTGTCTTACCCTTGAAGTCTGTGGGGGCAGCAGAAAACAGAGCACAAGACTTTGCAGGCACCCTAAGAAGAGCACTGGAAGGAGTGGTGAAGGGTTGATCCTGCCTGGCAGGTGCTGACTGTCCAGGAACAGCAGGGATATTTTAAGGCTGTGGAAATAGAAGGCATTTCTCCAGGACTCTCTTGTCAAATGCTAACTGCAGTGCTATAGAAGTTTATTTTGCATTACCTACCATAGACCTGGAGCCAATATTCAACATGTTTCTTTCTATTTTATTTTTTAAAGAGAAATCTTTTCCACTGCTAGCAAGCTTCCTTGAGTTGTGACTGTGTTAAAGTTCACAGAGGAGTAGCTTCAGCTGTGCATGTTCTGGTGCCTGGCTGGCTATAGATGTGTTAACCCAAGTGTGCTGAACAGGCACTGCATGTTCCTGTCTCCAAGCTGATGAATGATGTCTCTCCACCCAGCTCATGTGAGCTCAGATATGTGTTTATACCTACTTTCTTCTCCTTTACCTTGCCTGTATTGCAGCTCTTCTAATAAATTACATACAATTCTGACGTCTTTTTCCTGTACCTTGGCCAGGACTTACAGTGCCTCTTCCAACTCCTGCTCTGGCTCCATTTCAGTGTCTGTGCTGTGGCGTCATTTCTAGCCTGAACATCTTTCTGGTTCATATCTGAACTCTCAAGACTGTTCTCCTGAGCTACCTCAGCCCGGCTTCATTAAACCCTGCTTTTTAAGCCCTCTTCCTCCATAGCAGCTGCAGTGTGTGACCCCAGAGGAGCTCTAGGTCTCAGAGCCATCCTTCCCTAAGATGTACTGGGCAGAAGGATTCTTTCTGCAGCCCAGAGCTACACAAACATGAGCCAGCACCAGATTGCTTGGAAAAATGTGCAGTCCAAGACAATGCTGCTCTCCAGGGAAAGCAGCTGGCCTGGCTCCAGCCATGCCACGGGAGAGGAGGGGACTTTCTCAGCATGACTTGTAAGGAGCCGATGCCATTGCAGCAAGTCCTCTGGGAGCCTCTGCTGTGGCTGCACTAGATGGCTCCCCAGGCACAGCTACTGGGCAGGGACCCTGCAGCACAGGCAGAGCCTCTGTCTTCTTCCAGCATAATCAACTGCCCCTTTTAGATAAGAGAAGAACCTGATTAATTTGTACAGCTTTTATCTTCAGCCATGACGGAAATCTTGTGTGTCCTAGTGCTTTGTCACCAGCTCCAAAGCACGCAGTATTTCATCCCATGACTTTAATATGAAACACTGAGAGAGACAGCTGTTGGATCTGGAACTGAGTGGGAATATATTTTAAAATGGTTTTATCTCAATTTCTTTATAGCACACTAAGAATGTAACCCTGTATCAATTTAACAATTATTCTGATGCAACAGCCTTAAGGGACATTTTTATTTCCACCACAGACAGTTGATCTGAGATTTAAGATTTGTGAAACATTTGCAAAACTGTTGTTACTAAATCTAGAGTTTCTGCCCTCCCAGCACAGTCACTGCTCTCTTCTGCTCTGTTATTTTACAGACTGCATTCATTTCCTCGGACTCCATCTCCAGAAGCTTCACTCTGACCTCTACTTGCATGGTTGCAAAAGCATCAGACTGGGGCTGGGCTTTTTGTTAAGCACCTGGTAGTTAGATTTAATCTAATAAATATTAGTCTTTTTTGTACTGCCCTTAAGCTGATGTTCTCCATTAATAAGGCTTTGTGGGATTGTAATAATCCCAAGAACAGACAAATAGATTTCACAACATAAAATCTGACATGTGACCCCATCAAAGTTATCACAGTGCCCGGGAAAGGATTAGGAAAATGGAAGTTTTACACATGCAAATCAAAGCTTTCGGGAAAAGTACAGAAGAAACCTGTCCCTTTTAAAGCTGATCACAAGAAATCTGCTGTCTAGGTTCTTTGTGCCTTGTTTGTGCTTGCAGTTTGTGCATGTGTGATATGAGTCAGGAAATCTGCTCCTCTATCCCGTTTTATCCAGCAGAAGTTGCCATGGTAAGTACAATATGGGCCTTGCTCACTTTTAGCAGCATCAACTGCATGTCAGGAATCAGCAGATTGATCTTGTTTTGCTCTGGGTGAAGAGAAAAACTACAGGTGAGCTTGGAAAAAACAAGAGGAAAGAAATCACTGACAGACAGTGGTTTCAGTCTGAGATGGCCAGCAGAAAGAAACTTGATTTCCATCTACACAAACCATTGCCCGAGCATTAAAAGAACACGTGGGTACGTCAGAGGGGGAGGAACAGTATAAATTCAAATCAGCTCTCCATTTTTGCATAAAGTGATTATGACAAAGTACCTACTTGCTGGGAAAGTTTGTTCTTCTTCACCAGTGGTTTCTGTGTCCTCTGAGTTGTAAATAAACTCCGTGCTTGCTATGGGGTAGTTTTTGCTTGAAAATTCAATGATTTCTCTATAAAATTCAGTGTCCTGTTGTGAGCAGTTTTTGACTCAGCAGTACAGTCAGACTATTTGCCCTAAACTTGAGAACAACATAGGAGTTTTGATTTCTCCAGAAGTGCCATTGCAATAGTGAATAATAAAAAAATAATTGTGTAAGTGGAAGCACAGAAAAGGCAGAAAGATTAATTTGAAATGGAGATGGGAGGTAAGAAACCCAGGGCACCAAAGTACCATGACATCCATTCTCAACCACACAATGTAACTGGGTAGACTCCAATTCACAGGACTCAACATTGGATCATCCCAGACTCCCTGGAACTGTGGAAGATCACAAATGCCACTGTCCTACGCAGACTGAGTGTGATGGTCAAGCTCTCAGCAGGAAAGTTGCTTGGATGAAAGAGGAATGTCCCTGAGTGCCTTCTGGCACAAAGACCTGTGACTTGCACATACTTCTCTGTCTTGCTACCCACAGCCCTGACTCTGCAAAGATATTGCAAGTGCAAGGTGCTCCCTTTGCTAGTGAGGAAAAAACTCACTCAGCTCTGGTCCTGACTGTTCCAGAAATCCAGATAATATCTGCTAGCAAGTAAAAATTCCTATAGGAAAAATAATGCAGGTCAGAAAACTCCAGTCCCACCCACAGGTTTTGTAGCAGCCCTGCACTTGGAATAGGAGTCACTGTGGTAGAGGGCTTGAAAGAGAATGGCAGGCAAATATTTTGAGTAGTCCTGAGCACAGGGACTGGCAGGACGCTAGAAGAGATGTAGACACAAGGGCTGATACAGACAGAGGAGCTGCCAGTCAAAGTGTAGGGGTTCAAATCTGTTTAAACACTTTTGGAATGTCAGCCTATGGTCCCTACTAGCTGTTTATGGGGAAGAAAAGGCTTTGGTAACTGATTTTTCCCTCCCACCTGTGCTGCTCACATAGGCAGAAGGAATGTTAAAAGAATAGGAGAGAGGGTGTATTGCAAGTGCTCCGTGGAGGAAGAAGGGAGGATAAGGAAAGAGGGCATAGGGCTTGCCTATTAACAAAAAAAATAAAACATCAAAACATTTGCTGCAGCTCAGCCAAGACTGTGCCCACACAAACAACTGTTTTCACTCCCCAGGATGCTCCATTATACCCACAAAGCTCTCCTGGCCCAAAGCAGTGTAGATGCCTCTGCACTGCTCTATGAGTGCTAAACCACGTACATTCCTGCTGCTTCAGCCTCTACTGTAGCTGCAGGTTTTGGGCTTGTTTCTGTGGAAATTCTCTGGAAACCAGAGCAGGAAGGGCTGCTGCAAGGCTCAGGGGCATCCTCAGTGAAATGCTGAGTTAGATTTAATGGAGAAGAAGTTTGAGTTGTGTAAAACCATGATAAAGGCTTGTGCAATTTGTACTTGGTTTATTGTGAACTGTTGCTATTCATTGATGACACTTTAATGCTCTATAGAGTGATTGAGGCTCTTCAGCAAATCACACGGAGATATTCCTTAAGGGCTCCCATATAGTTTCTGCATAGAGGAAGAGGAGTCTTGCAGTGAAGATGTGATGGAGGAAGTTATTGTTAAGTAAATGTAATGTAAGGACTTACAACTCTGACTGAATTTAGGCACCCAATGTGCCTTTTTATAGATGTGCTCAGTATCTCAATAAATAGGACATTTAAAATAAAACACTCTGAGCTGCTTTCCCTGCCACAGACTGTTTCTGACACTGGGAACATCACTCAATTGCACTGTCTCCAATCCATTCAAGAAGCCAGAGTTCTGCCTTGCACTTTGCAAATGGTTCTGTCTTTTCTGTTTAGCATTTGCTTGAACAGGAAACTGCAATAATGTTATTAACAAAAGCAGTTTTAAAAGTACCTCACCACAGCTCTCAGTCAGACAATCACTATTAATCAAAGTAATCACAGGTTGAAGAAAACCATTAGAATTTGCACCCACAACTTTGTTACTGCCTTCACTGTCTGGCATACCAGAGACCAGCACAGCATGCTCTGATATCTCTGCCCTCCCACCCAATATAGCAACGCTTGAATTTTCCTTTCCCCCAAGAACAGAGAGATTTTTCCACTAATTTTGCTCTGTGAGTTTTGTTTGTCTTCAAGTCGGCTTGAAGACAGCCTATTTACTGCATGAAGAGTATATAGAAGCCTCAGGGGCTGACAAAAAACTCTTGTTTTCACGTTTTACATCTGATTTCTGTGATGGAGGGAGAGGGAGGGATAAAGCAAGGCTTCCTTGAGATAAAACCTCTATCTGCAAAGCTAGATGGGATGAGAGGTAAAGGCTTCCAAGCTACTCATGTGGGACAACAGCACCTACAGCTGCAGCACACAGTCCTCATGAAATGGCACTTACTTTCAAATCTTCTGAGCGCCTCATCACTGAAGGCTTTGTCCAGCAGCCGGATCTCAGCCAGCGCCTCCTCTTCTTCCAGCAGCAAGCGCACGATCCTCTGGCCAAGAAATCCTCCTGCTCCGGTCACCAGGCAGCTTACCCCAGCCAGGGACATTGCTCTGGGTTGTTCCTCAGCGGTGAACTCGCTGTCTCTTTAGCTTGGTTCTCCTCCTGCCTGAGGGAATGAACATATGACATCAACCACTGGAGGCTTTACAAATCAAAGGGTGTTACCAAAAGGAAAGACTTCTGGAAAACAAACTTTAATCTCTACATCAAACAATTTTTTAAGCGTGTCTTACTTTTGCTAGCTATTCCTATTCAGAAGTAGTCTACATACTTTTTTCCATGCAAAGAAAACATTCTTATAAATAATTACAAATCAACTCAATTAGCAATTGCTCAAAATCAACTTCAATGCCAAACAAACCCCGCAAAAGTCTGCCTCGAGTCTCAGTTCCACCTCTCAAGCACTCAGAAGACTGTGGGGGAGATTTGCCTGTATTTATATCCTGCAGGGCACCACCTCGGTCATTTTGCTCCCCTCCCTCTTGAGTGCCTCCTTTGCTGCAAAAGAATGTGATGCTTCCACACCACTCCCACCGAAGAGGAAGGCTCTGGATGCAGTGAGGTCTGAGCCTAGATGTCGTCCTGCATCCCTAAATTCCCAGATAATAAACCCTCATGTTTATAATTCTGTCTAGCTGCACTTGCTTGTATACTACAGTGCCAATATTGTGCCAGTATTGAAGGTAAAGAGCATTTAAATTAAATGTAAATAGCAGGACAAGCTATTTAGAGTAGTTTGAGAAGTGGACTCCGCTGCTGTATATTTTCTGGATACTGGGGTCCCCTATTATAACGTGGGTTTCTCACTCTCTCTTGTGCAAGATCAGAAACTAACCCTGGGGATTTTGTGTTTGTTCAGTATGCTACAGGCATTTGAAGTGATGAAATTGTTTAATGTACCATCAAAGTTAAATTCAAGCTGCAGGGGGGAAAGATTCACCCCTGGAAATGTCTTGTGCAAGAGTACCTATTTAAAGTAAGGCTGTTTGTGCCTCTGCAGTGATCTGTGTCATTACTGCTTTACATCTCCAACATGCAGGGAAAATGCCCAGGTGTTTTTCCCTGGAGTTTCACGCCAATTCTAGCAAAACTGTTTTGTAGTGTGAGACCAGGGCAGGGCATTAGCCTGAAACTCCTGATGCCAGCACTGCCCTCCTGCATCCAGTCAAGGCACGCTGCTTGCAGCTGTATTTTCTCTCTCTCACACACAAGGATAGGTTGACAACCCTGCTGAAGCAGGATGATAAATAGGGAGCTGCCTTGAGCAAAAAGGAGGTTACAAAGAAGTCCAGCAACACAATTAATTAGGCTGAAATCACTGGAAAAGGGATCCCTGATTTGGGGCATAGCTGGAATGGATCTTTAATGATCCATTCATGCCACTGACTGCTAAGCTCCTTTTTTTTTAAATTTTATTTTATCATGGGTTTTGTTCACTCATTAAAGAGAGCCCTAGAGAAAAGTTGCAGAAGAAGCATCCCCACACTGTTACTTTTTTAGAGCAAAACTGGGCTTGCATGTGACAGGAGGAAAGAAAAACCATTGCTGTTGAAGGAGAAAGGTTTCTAGCTGACACAGATGACAAAGCTTTGGCAACTGTTTCAATCCCATCATCCTTGAAAATCTGTTCCTCACCCCAACAAAGCTTTAAAAAATTTGTTATCAGTGCTTCTTTCCTTGGCTTTTCACAATCCGGACCTTGACATTTTATATTCTTATCAGAAGTTGCTGCAAATTAATTTTGTGCACTTTGCAAGGAAAAATAGCTGGCTGAATCCTGCTGCTCCAAGCAGCATTCTCTGTAACAGGGCTTCTTTTTTTGCTTTCAAAAAGGAAATAAAATGCTTTAAAGAGGCATTATAGAACCAGACAACACCACATAGCCTCTTAGGATAGAAAACACTCTTGTACACCAAGCTTAACAGCCGTAGTGCTTATATGAGAATATGAATGCTTCACAGGGGACTGCAGGGATTTACTGCTGCTGTGCTTTGTCCTCTTACGTACTACTCGGACAAATCTTGGCTTAGTTTGAGGGAATTTTATACATCACTGCATGACAGCCTTCATCTGAACTGCTCTGTGTGAATGTCAGTAGTCAGACAGCAGCAATTTGCTCAGTTCCAGCTTGGACCTACTGGGGCTTCCTGCAGTCTCACGTAGAGACAACATTTTCACCTCTTGTTTCTTGTTGACATTGCTGCTGGGGCTGCTGAGTGGCATGACAGCTCCTCCTGTGCAGACAAGACTAGCTCTGGTGTTCCCCAGAGGACATGGAGGCAGATGCTGGAATGGGCTGTACATCCCAGAACGGTGCCAGTGAGCAACAAGGCCAAAGTCCACCAGTTCCACCAGGAACAACTTGATGAAATTCAGAGTTACTGCACAGGTAAGGGAACTTGTGGACTAAAACATAATTGAGCAGCATTTGAAAAGTTTACCAACTGTGCATTCTGTGTCAAGGCATAGACACTTTTTAACTGTGTTGATGTCTTCCTTCTTTTTGACATCATTGTAATATGAAGCCACCACAATCTGATATTTTGCCTTAGAATGGACTGCATGACTAAGAGCATTGGTTTAGAAAATCAGAGCTTGTACATTTTGATGAGTGTTGGAGAAATGCTATACCGTGGCTGAGTGGATATCTTAGTATATGTGCAATGCACCATGTCCCATTCCAGCCATGTCCCTGATTTGCTGGCCCAGGAACAGTTGCTCCTCAGATTTTACTGGTGTTTATGTGACAGATACTTTGAGGCAATGACTGGCAGGTGTTAAAGAATGTATTTTCTTAGCCTTGTCACAAGAAGAAAAATGGATTGGGAGGAAATGTAGTGGAGATAAGAACACAGACAGCAATAGTGAAGAGAAAAGTCCCAGCAGCATTAGGAGAAAACTATCATGGTACTGGAATAATTATGTGCAATAACATTGCAGTGCATGGAAGTTTTATAGGATAAAATGTACTTTTACAGCAGGCAATGCTGTTTGATTATGGAATCAGGTAAACTGATTTTGTTATCAATCAGGGTATCCAAAATTAAGAAAGGAAGAACAGATCTATTTGTCCAGAAAGAATTTTAGTTCAGAAAAGGGGTTTCTGAAGTCTGGCCTCTTGCCCAGACCTATGAGAACTAAAGCAGGGAAAAGCAAAAGCATACTCATCGTTTAGCTGGACCTTTTGATTTCTAAATATAGAGTAACTGTAACAAAAAAGACATACACACACACACACACACACACAGATTCCATGTTTCTTCTCATGTGAAAAATTAATGTGTTTTCTACCACTGTATGCCTGTAAACTCAAAATGCCTACATGTTGGCAGCTCTGGGAGAGAGACTGGACTTTGAGATGTAGATTTACTCAAGGAAAACTTCTGCCCTTCAGCGTGGGAGGCACTGTTCCCTCCTGGAAACATTTCCCTTTCTTCTAGTTACACATTGACAAGAGGAAAAAATAATTTAAATAATTAACTTCTGGACATCTGTTCCTGTATCAGACTCTGAATAAATACAATAAATAAATAAGTACAATAAATACTTTTTGTAGTGGAGAAGAGTTGTAAGACACTTTAATCACTTTAATCAAGGTAGGAAGAAAACCACCTTAAGAGGCCTCAGTGTTTCTGTGTCTTCAAACCTGACAAAGAATATATCTTCTGTTTCAGTAATACCAAAATTCTCCCAGTAGAATAGAGAAGGTGATTGTAAACGATTCTGACTTTATCTCCAAGATCAAAAAGGCCTTCTTGTAATAGTCTTTGTTATATTAGACAGCACATGCTTTGTGCAATTAACTAGAAACAAACTAGAAACATTTAGTCTCTTTCCCTTTAGTTTTAGGAAGAACTCTATTTCCTCAGCTGAAATTAATGATCATATATTTAAAGGCTGGAGAAATTTGCATCATATGCCAAATAAAAATGTTTATGTTTGGATCCATTTTGTAGATAAGCTACCCTTGTAAGTAGAGCGATTCTCTGTCCTATCCTCCAGGGATGCTGGGAAGCAGCAGGGTTTGATTAATCCTTAACCTACATGTTTACAATCTTTGAGGACAGTTTTTTGTAAGATTTAACCTTGCTTGAATGTGTATTAGAGATATAACAAGCAAGTACATAAAGCAGAACTGGGTGCAGACAATGGGGCATGAAACTTCGGTATGAATTGGCTTAGGCCTAATCCAGATCATAGAAAATTTTCAATGTCTTGGAAAACTGGGCTTGATAGACTCTCATCCTGATTGAACCCTCTGACCTCTCACATTAGGTTCACTCACCAAATATCTTTGTTTTTCACTCAGAAAATGCTTTCTTGCAGCCTTTCACAGAGATAACATGGGCTGCCTCTGCAGCTTCACGTAGCTGGTCATGGCAGCACGGTGGTATGGCAGGGTACAGATCTCTTGTGCAGCTCTTATTTTATGATTCTGTGATATCCTTCTACAATTCAGATTAAAGGCAGCCTCTGGAGATCTCTGTGCCAACCTCTTCTCAGAGCAGTGCCAGAGAGGTTGTTCTGGACCTTACCCAGGCAAGCTCTGAATATCTCTAACAGTGGAGGTTTCACAAAGCCTGTGTTGCAGTGTCTGACTGCCCTCACGGTGATTTTTTCCCCCACTAATTTCTACTCTCAATTTTCTTCATTGCAGCTTGTGCCTGTTGCCTTTCACCCTTTTACTGCACACATCCAAGATGCTGGCCTGGATCTTCTCCAAGTGAGTAGTAAAAGGCAGTGATGCAATCTCCCCTTCCCCTGCCTTTAGCCTTCACGGGACTGAGCTCTCCCAGTTGTCTCATTCTCTTCTTGTGCATCCTTGAAATGCATCAACATGGGTGATGTGGTGTGATTCCCAAATCTTATCTGCTGGGCTGTCAGTCTGCTGACAAGGTTTATTGTTACTGGAACAGAGAGGAAGGCCTCCCTGTGAAGGCCTCTGGAAGATCACTGCAGACACTGTTATCTCTGAGAGAAATTAAAGCCTAAACAGACTGAGCTTCTAAACTGGGTTAGCTTCTTCTTTCTGCCTCCTTTGGGCCAACTTAAAGTTGGCTTTATGCAAAAGGTCACCTTTTAGTAGCATGTGCCTGTACATGCCAGGGAAATGGGTATCTGGGTATCTGGGTGAGGCAGGGCGTGTGCACCACTGAGAGATGGCTTTTTGCCCCACAAGTGGTCCTCTGCTCCACTCCTTCACTGCTTTGCATTTAGAAGCAGTAGGCAAGAATGGCCCCCACCTTCAAAGAGCAGCTGGGGTGCCTGGTAGCTGATTCATCTTGCTTCTATACCTGTTATGAATACATCCAGGAAAAGCCAAATCTATGGAAGATAGCAGCCACAACTGTCCCAGAGCAGGAGAGATGTGTGGATTGGGTTGCTGTGGGACTTGGCAGGACAAATGGAAAAGCAAGGCACGTGCTGGCTGTGCAGTGTAGTGGAACTTTGGAGGAAGACCCAAAATAGGTAATGTTGTGGAACAGCCAGTTTAAAACAAATGTATTTAGGCAAGTAACAACTACCTGAACTATTAAGGAATTCATCGGTCTCAATAAAAGCAGACTGCAGCCTTTGCTAATACAGAGCCTTTCCTAATCTCTTCAAAATTTTCCAGAAGGCCTTATGAGATACTTTTTGCACGTCCTTTTTCATCTTCAGTCTGATTGGGACCTTAGTTTCACCTGCCTCTGTTTGGTGGGCATGGCAGGAGGCTGATCACAGCTTTGAGAACTGAACCAGGCGTTGGTCAATCTCTGAGACACTGGCACAGCCTGCAATAAATGAAACATTGGTGAGAGAGAAAGATCTGTGCATGAAGCTTGGAAGTCCCCCGGTTTAGGGTCACAGTCTTATACGAGCTAGTTTGGGATAGCTTGGTACTTCAATATCTCCACTCCTCAGTGGCATCTTCAGCCTCGAGGTTCAGTACTGGAGTCCCCCGACCAGAGGAGTTAGAAACATGAAAAGAATATATAGCAAACTGAGCAGGGTGCAATCTGATCCAGTCAAGTCAGCAGCAAAACCCAGAGAAAAGAAAGGGTTTGCTGTGTGCCAAATGGCCAGAGATAAAGATTTGCATTGCCATTTCATTTGGACAAATATGGGTGGAATAGAGCTGCTGGTTGACAGCTGACTGAACATGAGCCAGCTGTGTACCCAGCTGTGATACAGGCATCCTGGCCTGTGTCAAGAATAGTGTGGGCAGCAGGATCAGGCTAGCCATTGTCCCCCTGTACTGGGCACTGGTAGGGCTGCACCTTGAATCCTCTATTCAGGCGAGGTTTAGATTGGATATTAGGAGAAATTTCTTCACAGAAATTGTTATCAAGCACTGGAACAGGCAGCCAAGGAAACGATTGAGTCATCAGCTCTGAATGTGTTTAAAAGAAGCATAGCTATGGCACTGAGGGACATGGTTTCATGGAACTGACAGTGCTGGGTTAACAGTTGAACTTGATGATCTTAAAGGTCTTTTCCAACTAAAAGATTGTATGATTCAATGAATTTCACAGCCTCAGCAAAATGATCCCAACTTTCTACTCTTGCTGAATCCTGGGCCCTTTTGCGTGTAAAGAATTGTAAAAGTCTGCTGGGGAAAAGACCCAGGAATCTTTACTGGTTGAAAAAGTAACCCATGAAAAAGTAACCAGTTCATAGGCGGGATTTCACCTCCAGTCTCCCAGCCAGTGCTGCTACCCACTTGAGTTCTACATGTCATAATGTATAGAATATCCTACATTGGAAGGAACCCACAAGGATCATCAGGTCCAGCTCCTGGCCCTGTGCAGGACACCCCAAGAATCACACCCTATGCCTGAAAGCATTGTCCAAATGCTTCTGGAACTCTGTCAGGCTTGGTGCTTTGACCACTGCCCTGGAGACCCTGTTTCAGTGCCCATAAACCTCTTGTTCAAGAGTAAAATTGGAACTTGCACTGAGCTCTGCAAATTTGTTTGGTGAAGGGGTCTAACAGGGCAGATATAGCTGGGAGCAGGAGTGAGAAATGCAGAGTGAGAGTGAAAGCTGGGAGGAGACACAAAGGCTTTTAAAGCATGTGTAATCACCTACAGACTGTATTCTCTAACACAGAGAGAAAAATTCTGCATCCACTTTTAATGAACTCTTCATGCAGAAAAAAATCAATTGCATTTTGCCTTGATAAACACTAATTAAATACTGAAAAACATATGCTGCCATTCCCGGGAGAACAGACATTCCAAGTTTTGCTTGGCTGTACTTAGCAGTTTTGCATCTCTTTGCTTCAGTCACAAAGCTGCTCTAACCTACTCCCTCCGTGCAAACTTCATTGCTGTGACACCTGGAATGCCAAGTGCTTTCACAGGAAGCAGAGAATCTCAACTACAGCAACTAGAACTCTCACAGCTCCTGTGGACTCCCTATTTGTGACCCATCCATCACACTCCTGATTTTATAGGGCTTGCATGCAGAAACATCTGTAACACCCATTACAAACAAAATACTCACCAGCTAAGGCCATAGACAAGCGAAACTCATCCTGCAGAATTCTCAGGACATCCTGAAGACCTTCTTCACCCTGCACCAACAGAGAAAGGGTAAAAGGAGCACTGGCACAGAGCATTGCTGCAGGATGCCTGCACCCTGAGAGCTGGGATAGTCCCTTAAGTCCGTGCCAATTCCAGTCTCTCATGCAGATGAATGATTAAATGATATGATGAATGTGCTCAGTTCATAACAGATTAATTTAGATGCTTTTCCTTTTGGGATACCTCTGAACAGAGAAAGAAAACAAAGCTGTTTTTCACTTCTGACATTTTGTAGCGGGTTCTTTTTTTTTAGCTTTCAGTTTTCCCCCACCAATGGGCTTGCTGTTTAAAATGTCAAGCCTTACAATGCTGACAGGTGTTAACAAAGTAATGAGAGTTTTATGTATGTTACCACTCCAGAAACTGTAGTTTACTCAAATACTGGACTGAATCTTTGCAAATAATAGACTATGTATTTTCTCTGTGTAAGTGACACCAAGAAGCTCAAAAGCCAATAAAATGTATAGAAGATTTTGATCTTCCTATAAAACACTGGAAGATTTAATTTTTTTTTCTCTTAATTTTTTTTTTTTTTATGTCTTCAAATAATAAATGCTTTAGGTGAAAACAATGTCAGCACTGGTTTATGCCCTTCCTCTATTGTATGCTTTGGTAATGTCACTGACATACGTCTTGAGGGATACTCTATGGAATATAATACCAAAGCACAATAGAACCCCCAAAAATCCCACTTCCTTTCTGTTTCCATTGTGGAAAAAGTGCAGGGTACTCACAGAAACACCTTTTTCATCTTAGGCCCTTTTTTGATGTTTACTGACAAAAGAAACAGTACTGCCAACTCTTACAGGTCTTTTCAGGAGATTCAGGTGATTTCTTGCTCAAAGCCTTGCTGCTGGAATCCACAACAATCACACCAGTGGACAAGAGTGCCATTTAAGACAAAGGAAATATGTCTGGACCATTAAAAAAATGTATCTTCTAGAGAAAAGTTTTGAAAGATTCCATCCCTAGTGTAAAAAGCAAAAATTGGCAAAAAACTCGAACAGGTATAATATTTTAATTTTAATTATATTCTGTTTGCCTCCACATCGGAGGCCTAATTCATGACTCTGGATCATAGAAATACGCCCAAAGTTGAGAAGTAGCAAAGCTGAAACTGAAATAGCAGTGCAAAGCCCAGGCACCTCCAGGACAGTTTTGCTCAGCCTTGTCCAAAATGTTTCAGCCATCTGTGGGATGGAGCTCTATATGTATTTCTAAAGAATTCATGGCACTGCTGTGAAACTGTTCTACCAAAACCATATATTGTTCCCAAGTATTTGCTGAAAGCAAATAAAATTGTAAGACTCATCTTCCTGGCAAATAAGCCTAGCTCCAGTTTTCAAAAGCACTGATGGTCCTGAGTGCTAAAGTATTTTAGCACCAAACTACAACAACAAGAAATCAGGTCCCACAAAACAATTCTATCACCTTCAATATCCCATTGTTCAAAATCTCAGGAAACTGTGAAATTCTGTGGTATTTTTAAATCAGAGGAAATGTCAGGGTTTCATTCAATTTGGGGTGATTCCACTTCAAATTCAGCGAAATAAAATTAAAAAATATATTCTCCACCAGTGAAAACTCTGTCACTTCAGCTGCAGGACTGCTGGAGAGTGTGAGAAGCAGGCACATGAGCACAGAGCTCCTTACCTTATAAGCCAGGCCCCATAAAGCTGGTCTTCCAATAAAGACACATTTTGCTCCCAGTGCCAGTGCTTTTAACACGTCGCTTCCTTTTCGTATTCCACCATCTACATAAACTTCGACTCTGCCTCGTACTGCCTCCACAACCTCAACCAGAGCATCAATCTGCAAAGAAGAAGCCAGTCTCACCTTGAGGGCGGCTTTTGATTCCAAGAGGAGGAGGATATATTCCAAAGAGACAGGCAGGGATGCAGTGCTTTAGTAGGATACCTTCTCAAAATGAAATATGACAATGCATCAGAAATAGCTCAGCACCAGGAGCTGCAGAATAACGTGCAGCTCTCTGTTCTGTTTTCCAGATACTTAATGCCATGTTCCAGTACTTTGCTTATACTGATATTCTTTGCTATCACTTTTGATTAGTGAAAAAGTAGTATTTTCATTAGATTTATGAAAGATTTTAAATATAAACTTCAATGGGAATAACTGTCATCAATATTTTACTTTCATTTGAGACAGTGATGAATCATACAGCTGTTTGCTAAAAAGGCTGATGTCAAACTTCTACTGCTTAAACTACCTAACCTTGCATTTCAACTTAATCCTGGTGACCACTTGTTGAGTGCCTCCCTCTAAAGCATCTGTGAAGGGTTTCATTTGCTATGCAGTACAGTCAATCATTTCCTCCAGGTTAAGCCTCCTGATTCCCTAAGGTCTTTTCTGTGGAGTTCAGCATGGAGTAGAGCCTCAGATGTTATTGCAGGGCAGCACCACAGAGAGATGCTGGCTCTGGCCCCAAGGCAGTACAACCAGGGACAACACATTGCACTGGACATAATTAACTCTTCTTCAGAGCAAACCCCAAAGGCACTTTTCTGCAGTGTCTTATACCTTTTTGCCTTCTTTTAAGCTTTTTTTTTTTCTGAATTTCAAACTGAAAACCTTCAGGCTGAAATTTTATAGGACTAGCTCAGCAAGAGCCAGACTTGGCACCAGAATAGTAGAGCCCAACTAGGTATCTACTGCCTTGTCTGTGTATGTAAAACAACTTTTAAGGTAAAAGAACAGTTAAAGGTGGATGCCATTTCTGTTGTAATGCCTTTGGCATTGAGTTTAATAACTTTTTTTTATTCATTATTGTCAGTTTTGATGTAGAAGAGAATTCTCTGGTACCTATTTTTATTTAACCAAAGAGAACTGAGAAAAGAAACTTCATAAGATACTGTGCAATGCAGAACTGTAAAATAAGAGCAATTGGAAAAACTGACAGAAGCCAAATTAAGCCAGTGAAATACACATATGTCCAAACAATGCATGATTTCTTTGTACAAATTAGAAAGCAGGGGAATTTTTCTCCGGATAAGTTATCCTTTTTCTGGCTCATGTAAGCCAATAAATTCCCATTTAGACTTGAGCCTGTAAATACACAAGCAGACCTCTCACTAAATCTAGCTGCATTGTTTTGCATGTTTTGACAGATGTGAACAACGAGAATACATTATGCTCTCATTTGTACAGTTTTGGTTCCAGAGCTTTGTTTTCTTTTTGCTGCAGTGCGCAAAGAGTTTGAGTGTGCTAATGGAGACACAGGCAGGAATTCTTCCTGATTTGGGCCAGTAGTTTATCTCCACTCATGTGGGTTCTGTGGTACTTACAGAGCCCTCCCTAGAAGCTGAGGAAATGCTTCAGTGCGCAGCCCCCATGCCAAGGCATGGATCTCACCAGTTTAAAGCTAAAGTATATCTGCACACATCCATGGCCACTGGACAAACTCAAGTCCACCAGAAGTGTACACACAAACCTGGGCATGGAGATACCCAGGTTAATGCAAACATGCAGACTGTAAACAGGGAAAATGTGGAACATCCATTTCCTCACTTACAGTGGCAGGTCCTTCATCCAGTTGCCTTCCACCATGATTGGACACAATAATTCCCTGAACTCCGTGTCTCACTGCCAGCTCTGCATCTTCTCTTGTCAAGATGCCTTTGATGATGATGGGCAGGCGTGTCAGGCTCTGCAGCCAGTAGATGTCATTCCAGGTGACCGAAGGATCCAAGCTGTTGGGTGGCAGTCCATACTCAGACCAGTCGTCTCCCTACAGCCAAAAAGAAACAGCAAAAGGAAAACTCATCTAAGCTGCAACAATACACAGGTCCCTTGGTGTCTTTCCTTGCCCTAGAACAGATTAATCAAATTTACCAACAGACATGTTCATCAGCTCCAGAAATGTCACATGTCTCTGGAGGAGAATAATTACAATGAGGATGGAGATCAGTGTCTCTAAGGCAGCTGGATGGGGATTTTGAAGACAGAACTCAGACTGGCAGGAGGTCAAGCCAGGATGCTGCAGAACCAGAAGGGGAGAAGATACGCCCTGGTACAACAAATGCCAAGGCAGCAGTTACCCAGTGGTTTTTGTCTCATGTGGTGCATGCCAGCGCAGTGAATGAAAGGACAGGCTCATTTTACAAACCTCAAAAGCTCGTTCCAAGTTCTTCACTTTCATGTGGGGAGGAAGGCGGAAACCATTGCGGACGTCGTCGCGTCTCTTGCCTGTGTAGGGCAGATCCGCAGTGAGGACGAGGCCCTGGAAGCCCAAGGCCTCCGCCCGTTGGACCAGCTGCTGGGAAGCTGCTCTGTTGCGGTGGATGTAGAGCTGGAACCAGCGCAGGCCACCGGGCGCGGCCGCGGAGATCTCCTCCAGCAGGCAGGTGGAGTAGGTGCTGACAATGTAGCAGGTGTTCATTGCTCTGGCCGCTTGGGAGGCATTGGAAAGGAATCAGAAATGAAGGCATTTTTGAAGGGTCTTGCCAGACATCAGATGCAAAACCACGCACTGTTTTTAGAGACCACCCCAACTCCTGATTTCATGTGCATCTTACAAAGCACAGGGCAGCTATGCCTCAGGTTAAACAATGACTGCATTTACCAGACATTCTTGTTAGTTCATGGCTAAGAAAGCAGAAAAGGGAGGGGTAATTAACCAAGCTGTGCTTTCATTTTGCAGCTACATTTTTAGAAAAAGCATGAATTTTATCTTTATGACTGAGTCCTCTCAGGAATGTACTGTTAAATCTACTTAGTGTACACAGAAGAAAAATCATTTCTAGGGGTCAGGTCTCCAAACTCACCATAGGATTTGTGAAAAGGGGTTATCTTTTTCTCCAAGGGAGACATTTCTTAAACAGTAACATGGAATTCACAGTCTGAGTCCCATCCACCACTTTTACAACCCATCTAGAGCACCTAGGACTGAAAACCTTATGTGGTTTTTGGTGTGAGTCAGAAATGTGTCCACTGCCCTTGTCTCCAGTTTGCAGCAGACTCCATGGGGCTGATTTTGTATGATGGTAGCTGGAGAAGAGCAACCTCTATACAGATTCCGATGCAGGGTGTCAGAAAGTGGGAATGGAGTTGGCCCCCTCAAGCCTGAAAATTTTTCTCAGTCATACTTCAAGTCATCCTAACAGCTTCTTGAAGCTCTTCTACACCCCCCTTTTTGCAACATGGCACTAGAGCAGAAGAGTACCTCTGGCTGTGCTTTTCTCTCCATCAGGCCATGCTAGCTGGTGGAAGCCTGTAGGGGCAATTCCTACAGGAAAACTGATTTCAGAACCCAGGATTTTAGTCCTAATATCCATCACAGATACGTCCCGCAGCATACGTGGTCGGAAACGAATTCTGTAAGGCAAAAAAACCCTTTCAGGATAGTAGATGTTCAGTGAGTTTTCTGAAGTTTCATGGAAACCAGGTCTTCGTTCACCAATTGCAAAGCAGGAATCTGAGCCAATGAAGAAAACATCAAATAATAAAATTATAATAAAGGACAATATAACAAAGGCTCTTTGTCCTTTCTGTTTGCTTTTAGAGGTCAATTCAGCCAGCAGTCCAGTCACTTCCACTTTTCATTAAACCTGCTTTACTGACCACAGTACATAATTTCTGCATCTCCCACCTCAGATCACTGTGTCCTCTCACATTGTCCTCCCCCAGGTTCCTTCTACTTGCAGCCAGGCTGGGTCCTTCCACTTCACTATTTGTGTCTGTCCTCACTGCACAGTGTGCCTGCCCTCAGGTTTTGCAGCACGTTCCCCAAATCCCACCCTACTTTCGCATAGGCTTCCTGCTGTTCACCAAGAGCTCCCTGTTGCATCTCATTCTATTAGAGCTACTCATGGCCTTTCCTGTAATGCCACACACCCCATAGCACACTGTACCCTACCCTAGCACCTGCCTGTTCCCTCAGCATCCCTAAAGCCTCATACAACCCATGTCACACTCGGTCTGGCATCAGAACACATGGTGCATGTCACTCAGGTTTTGCATTTAGCTTGGGGACTCCCTGGAAAGGACAAGGTTTTTACTTGTACAAGGATTTTGCTTGTCAAATCCAAACACTTGCACAAAAACAGTGTAAAAGGTCCCAGTACAATGCCCTTCATTTCCTTCTCACGTTACCTTTTATATGCCAGGATGTTTTCATCTCGTGTGGTACAATCGTCTGCCCCAGCTGCAAAATAATCCCAGACAATCTTGGGTAAATACTTCTTAGCATAAGCTTCAAAGTCTGAAATGCACACCATAGCCATTGCTGAGAGAGGTGTAGGGAACCTTGAAGAAAAGAATAACATGGAGCAGAAATTAGACCCCTGAATTGTCATTCTGTCTTCCGGGGGCTCTAATGTCACTGAATGCAAAACTTTTTATAAAACTTTGTTTTATAGAGGAGATGGTGAGACTTGTCTCAGTCTATCTTGTACATCAGCCTACGAATCCTCCACCCCAGTATGAGGAAAACTTGCAGATGCAGCCACGAGAGTAGGAAGTTTGCATCTCTGTGCCTCTCTTCATTCTGTTTTAAGCAGCAGCCTGAAGAGGACATTTTAGGTCCTCTGCTATTTCAGTTGTGTAATTCTGTCATAAATTCAACCTTAAAACAAGCTGCGTTATTTGTTCCATTAATTCTGCTCAAAGGTTGTCCCAGAACATCATTTGTTAGATCATCCCTAAGGACGGCTCCATGACTGAGCAATTAGTTATGGAGCACAGTGATGGAATTCAAGATCATGAAATCTGGAAACAAGTAAATACAGAGTCTACAGCTAACCTGCTCCAGCATGAACACACTGTAAAACTAAGTCCAGACCCTTACAGCAAGTCACTGTCAAGGCCAGTGCTGTGGAAAAAAAAGGCATTTTCTACAGATCTTCTTTTCTCTTCTGTAATAAATATCTTCTGGATGTTTGCTTTACATGCTGGAGCACTGATATAAACTATAAAAGGAACATATAGAATTTGGACAAACCATGAGAAAACACTGGCAAAAAACAAATTCCACAATATGAAACACATTTCGGAGAACTAACCTCAGCCTTTCAAGGAATGGAAGTGAAATTGTGTGACCCAGATGTCTAATCAAACCAACATAAATGCTGCCCAGAAAATGCCTGCACTTACATACTTTTGAAGTAGCAAGAACTGAAAGCTATGCAAATTAATGTTTTAGCAAACCATATCTGTGTGTGCAGAAACACGTACAAAACACAAAGTCAATTTTCTAAATTGTTCTATTTGTTTCTATTATTCTAATTGTTGTAATTACTTCTGCAGTCCTGATTAAAATAGATATTTAACAAGGTATGTGGAAACATGAAATTTTAAAACAGCTGTGGCTCAGTCTGACTCCTCTAAAAAAATGTACAGGAAGAAGTAAATATCCTAATTTTCAGGCTTAACCTCCCACTGCAGATTAGCAAGGGTTGCAAGCTTCACCAAAATCAGCCCCATGTGTCCCATGTTGGTCACTTTTGGCAGAGATAAACATGCAGGTTATGTACACAGAAGCAAGCTGCCAAGCTGCAGGCACTGCTTCTCACTGACTGAAGTACCTGTGTTTGCATTTGAAAATTAGGACTCACAGTTCTCAGCTAGTAAAGAGCCCAATACGAGGAGCTCATTGGAAGAGGAAGAAGAAATGCAACTGATTTTGTCAGTATTGTTCTGTCTGCTCTGACAGGCATTAGGTAGCAGGGGGTGCAAGTATCCCAAGCCTGCTTTCTCTGACTTCAAGAACTGTGCTGATAACTGTGACATTCTTTAAACCATCTATCACAACTTCTGCTTTTCTAACTTTTAGAAAGGCCAAAATCATCCAGCACAATAAGATAAACCAAGTCTTCTCATGGCAGAAGAAACAGGAATTTTAAACAACCCAGGCCCAGTCTTGTCCTTCAATTCAGACCTCTGTTCAGACTTACTTTTGGGTTTCAGGGAAAGCTGCAGAGGGTGAGAGCCTACCCTTCAAGTTTGCCTGCAAAAAGGATTTTGAAGAAGTCTTTTCAGTGAGTAGCTTCTGTTTCTTCTGCAGTCAATAAGCAACCACCAGAGATTAAAGCATAATCCTGGGGTAAACTTTGTACTGTTTGTGTAACACTAACTTTGTTTTGCTGTCAGGAGGTTAAAAATCTCTCCTAAAACATGCATCACCTCATTAGCATTGCAATCGCTCTGGAGAGAGCCCTGTAGCCGAGCTCTTTGGCAGTGGCTGATGGCTGTGCATTCATTTAGGCAAGCAACAGTATTTCAGGGGTTTTAATGAATCTCTAAACTGTTGGTAACTTGCTGCTTCATCCTCTCAAAATGATGATTCACAGACAGTGTGAGTAGTTACAACTCCCAGCTACAGAGCCTGGACTCTTTACTAGGACATGGGAGATGTTTTTTGCTTCCTGCAGTCTACGAACAACTAAAATACTCTTTGTCTTCTGCCATTTTTAATGGCCTGTAAGTGCTCTTATCAGGACTGAGATACCAACAAATTTATGATATTGATTTAAATTGATTTGCAAGATATGACAAAGAAACACTGGACTGCTTTATTTGGCTTTTGGCTTCTTTTAGCCTTTAGGGTTCATGACTTCAACATTTCCATGCAAGTACAAGAGCCTGAGGTTTTGATTTTTACTAACTGAGAAATGAGATATTATGTTGGCAGGTGCAGAGGATGAGGCAGGAACTTGTTAAAACTTTCCCAATGTACCAATGGCCTCCCAGCTCAAGCAGTCCGGATGGGGCAGTGAATAAACTTTTGCACTGGGCAAAAGCTGGAGGCTAAACAGAGCTGCAGCCTCGTGGCTTAGTGTTGAACTGGCTGGTCTGGTCCAGGAGTGCAGACCTGACATTCATGACAGCAGAAATTGCAGGTCACTGACACAATCTGTGCAGCTGTAGTGAGCACCTATTCTTTCTGTTAGATGCAGTGGCAAGACCCTGGCCAAATTCAACCAGACATGGTCATCTCTACTACTGTCTTTTGAAACTCCTTTCAATTCAGCCTTCAGAGCTCATTATCTGCTGACAGCACTGTGGAGCTGGCTTCTGGCAGGGATGGCTGTGGATATAGGTGTCATGAACTAGACAAGGTGTTCTTGGGCACTCTGAGTACCCTCAAGCTTCTTGTTTTGCTTCCCAGCCCAGGATGAGCCGTACAGCAGATGGTCTTCAGGTCACTTCTGAAGAGAAGAGCAAAGTGCTGTCTCTGTGTGCTCACAGCCCAGTACATTCCTGGGAAGGCAAGGAAAATCCTGCCCTCGTTCTTCCTCCACTAGATGTCAGGTTTGGGTCATATATATCAATCTATGCCGGTAAAAGCAATGAAAAGAACCCAGTACTCGCTGGCCTGCAAGGCACCGTGGCCTTTAAACCGCTAGGATCACATCACCACAGTACTGCTAATATGTTTGGAAATCTTCACTCCCTGTGCCTTATTTTTAACATTTTCTGGTGCACAGCACAGCAATAAATGTAGCTACATCTGGTTTGGCCTGATCTTTGTTTCAGCCTACAAGTTGTCTGCGGGGTTCTCTGTCATATTTCTCATTGTGCTGATCTCAGTACTTCCTTACTTTAGGGATGCACATTGCAGCCAATTCAGCAAACCATAAAGTTTATGCTTTCATGATTATCATAATTTTACATGAATTAAAAATAGTCTGTGACTACTGTATTTTGGATCAGGAGAGAGGAAAACTCTCTGTGTTTATGCTGTGGCTTTTAAGAGACTGTACTTTGCATCTAGATATATTTTCTTCTTTCAGCAATGGACTCAAATCAAAGTAGCAGTGACTTCTTGTTCCAAAAGTGCTATTTTCTCTGATACCAGTAATATTCCTGATTTAGCTGTGAAGCTATAATCTGTGAAAAATCAAAATTTGCCACAGAGATAATGTCTTTTATTATAACCCCTGTATATACTTGAAAAGAGTGGACAAGTTTTAAAATTCTGGAGCCTTTTCATTGGAGTGGAGTAAAAACATTAAAAAGACTCTCTAAAAGATTTGCTGGAAACCTAGCTGTCTTCTTTTGAAAACTAAAGAAAATAGCATAGGAAATAATTACACATCTGGTCTCCACCCTTGCAGGTAGAATGTCAAGCAGTCAACAGCCAAAGCTTGATTTTTGCACAGATCTGTGTAGCTGGGCTTTTGCAGCTGCTTACTTTTCAATGCTAACATAGTCAAAGGCTCGTGAGTCCAAACACAAAGATCCTGTGTAAATCTGTGCTCCAGTTCCTATTACAGTCATAATACTCCTTCCTCCAGTTGGTTGTATTTGTTTGCTTTGCACAGATGGCAAATCACCGTGGGTCAAGCTGACATCTCTCTCCCTGATGCATCCACTAGTGCTCAGTTCAGTCTGGGGCTTTAAAACACTTTGGTGAAGAGCCCGGTGAGCTCCAAGCAATGTAAATAATTTAGATCACATAACAGTTTGCATACAGTCACCACTGTTTCTCCTTATCAGATGTCTTTCTTGGGCATATGCCTCATGTTTGGAAAGAAAATGCCTTCTCCTTGAATGTCAGTCATGCAAGAAAATTTTTCCCAAATTGAATACTTAATAGCCATCCTTCTGTTGCAGGTGGAGAGGGCAACAAATCTTATATTTAACGTTGCCTAACAGTTTTGATTATAAGATCTGTTTTTCGGTTGCTTTTAATTTTTTCGTATTTTAATCATTCTAGGCAGACATTTTCCATCTTTGTTCTCTGTGTTGAGCTGAATTTTATTTTGGGAACATTTAACTGAAAGTTGGTCAGCAACTTCTAAGAACGAGGTTAGTGAAAAATATGGTTGGCCCATGCTGAAAATATATTACAGTGGTTTCACTGCAGTTCAGTGCTTCATGCAGGGGTTTGAAATTAGCGGGGGTTGATCCCTGGAGACATCAGCCTGTACTTGGTGGCCATATGAAAATCCTGTCAGATCTGACCTAGCTGTAAATCACTGCTTGCCACTTGCACATGGTCTGCAGAGCTTGTCTGAAATCCATATGTTATCTTTGCTGAAGACTTGCCTGGTGCAGAGCATGCTTCTGCCATAGGAGCTCAGCCCCAAATATGAGCAGAGGGCAGAGAGCTGCCCGTGCCCCACTCTCCCTCACCCTGTGCCACCAGAGTTGGATGCAGCCTTAAACACCACTGAAGGGGAGGAGGAAGAGAAAAATAATGGCTCAAAAAAGAACCTGCAGGACAGCATTCAGGGACATGCAGGAAGGGATATGCAGAGGTAACAAGGTCAGAGACAGAGCAGGTGGGAGCAAAACAGGTGCATATCCTAGGATGGCAGGGTTTCAGGAGGGTAGAAGGATCAAGAGAAGGAGATAAATTTGGGAAAGAGGCAGAAGGAGACAGCCTGTGACACAGTTTTCTAATGTTCTAGGAGACTAGATTTAGCTGTTCTTTCTTCAAAAACCTCTGCCTCCAAAAACCAGAAGAGAACTTGATTTATGCTCAGCATTCATCTGAATTTTTTTGTGGTATCCTTCCTTTCATCTCATCCTTACAATTTCCTTTTTCATTCCTCCTTTCCCTCCCCCCTAAAAAACACAGAAGAATTCAGAAGCATGCTTCTATGTCTTACTGTGGAAGTCTGTTCCATTATGTTTCTTCAGATGAGAAAGCTCTGGAGTGCTTTGTGGCACTGAAGAGAGATAATGCAGTCTTTTCCCCTGGTTACCCCCCTTCATAAAAGACCTGGAGCTGTAAACTCTGACAACAGCAATGCTTGGGTAAGTCCAATAGGCTGGGAGGAAAGATCACATCAGTGTTTGATGTAGAAAACCCAACTGGGTCTTGTGAGGAGTGATGATGACCTGCGGGTAGCAAGGCTCAGTCACAGGCTGAGCAGGCCGTAACAAAACATTTAGAAAACAGATTTTAGAGAGCAGATGCAGAGTCCTTGAACTGTTGCTGGGAAATGCTGAAGGAGGGAGGACAATGACTGTATATTCTCAGTATGAAAACATACAGCACCCCTCAGGTACATATCTAAGGCTACTGTCAGGCAAAGAACTCCACAAATAAGTACAACTTAAAGCATATATGAAAAATAGGGATAAAGTGTGAGGTGAGCAAGAACAGAGCTGGGGAGGAAGGTCTACAGAAGTTTTTCCCAGAACACCCTTTTGTTGTCACCAGCTGCTGCCAAAGCTGCCTCTGAAGACACTGAGCTCACACGGGGTGGAGGACAGAGGAGTTCAGACATGACTCAGCTTGGGGTTTTCACCTTGATTTCCATGGACAGCTGTCCCACTTGAAGCCAGAGAGTCAGAGGCAGCTGGATATGACATTAATCATGATATACCCTTATGTAGGTTTAGCTATGGATTATTTTATCCATATCCTTACCTGGCATGCTGGGCCAGCTAGGCTGTGTAGCTGTGGCCTTCCTTCTTTGCCTTTTTTTAAAAGTACTGTGGTGCTGGCAGTGAAATTAGTAGCTCACTCAAATCCACAGAGGGCAGTAAAAACAGAAACAAGAGATACCTGGGGCCTGCCCCTATCAGAGCCAAAGAGTGCTCTGCTCCTGTTCCCCCTTCCATTTTATCAGCTGGACAAAGTCCTGGTAGTTTCTACTTGCAGTGGAGCAATCCTGCTATCAGCAGCACTGTTTGGGAATCAGTGAAGACTAAATCTTCATAGCCACTGGATAACATTCACATAAGTATAGAAAAGTAGGGTGGAGAGAAGAAGCCATCTAGTCCATTCCAGTGCCTGAATTCAGAATTAGCTACACCTGTGCCTGTCTCCACTCATAGAGATGCCACTTCCTCCAAAGAAAAACAGTTTCATCAATTGACTATACAAGAAAAATTTACAGGTGTTTCATCTGGAGCTCCCTTCCTGTAATTCTAGTTATTTTCCACCCATAATGGACACAAAAGAGATTCTTTCCCTTTCTCTTTATGTCTGTTTTTAAAATACTTAAAGTTCATCGATGGTCCACCCCCTCTATTGTCTCTTTTCTAAACCAAGTTATACAAATTTGTTTGGCTTTTCATAATGAGCCATGTTTTCTAGACTTC